GCCATCTTTACCTAATTCTTCTTGTCGAGTAAATAATGCATTTTTCACATCAGCATCTAATGACAAAATTTCGTCATTGTTCGTTTTATATGTCGAACATCGTTGAATAACAATATCAGGTGCACCTTTCAAAATTATTAAAACAGTACGATCTTTTTCTGATATTGAAGGATCTAATGTCTCAAGTTGATTAGCGGAGATCATAAATTTATTTGATGAATTAAATGGTAACACTTTCAAACGTGGATTGACACTTCGTACTCTATTAATATCAACAGAACATTGATCAACACAAAGATGATAGAGAGCTGTATCAGCTGCATCACCAACAAGTTTTAATTTTGATTTCGTTTCTACTTTATCATGATCTAATTCAACATCTTTTACTATTTGTTTATCGGCATTATTACAAAGTGCTGCACCAAGTAAAAGATCGCGAAATGCTTGTATTCGAACTTCACTTGGTTCATCAGATATATCAGATTTTTCAGCATTGTTGTCTACCAAAGGTATATGCTCAGATTCATCACGACCACTGGACGATAATTTTCTTACTATTCTATGCGCACTATCAGATAGACGACGAGCTATTTTGATAGCATCTGACGAAAGAGCACGAATTCTTTGAAAGAAAGTACTTTCTGCTTCTGGTTTTCGTTGAGGCATCGGAACATTATAAACACGATCAGTATCCCATAATAGATGAGTTACAGTCATTTTATTTTGGGTCAATGTTCCTGTTTTATCAGTAGCAATGACAGATACAGAATTAAATGTTTCAACAATTTGTAAACTTTTAACTAAGACATGTTGTTGATACATTTGTTTGGCAACAATCGTCAGTACTAAACAAAACAAAACAAAATAGAATATACGATATAAACTAAGTAGTCTCGTCTTTTACAAAAAGTTCTATATTGATGTTCATTTCAAGTTATATTTCGAGACAGTTCATTATAGGCGTCCGGCGGAAGTGTGGTTGCAGAGTATGAGACTGCACGGAGGGAGAGATGGTTGTGATTTGTCACAGAAGTGAATGCAGGGGGGCTGGGGTGTCCATGTGGATCTTCTCTTCGTCTAAACCTACATTCGCACCCTTCTAAGTAATTCTTCTAGCGAGTAAAGATCCAGCTTCTGCATTTAGACTCATATTAGTTTTGGTAAGCATTCTTTATAATCTGTCATATTCGGATCATATGGTTTCAAAATTAAGTATCTATTTATTAGAATTATTATGAAGCTTTGACATGAATTAGGATTGTTATGAAATTTGTTCGGGACTCACTGTTTTGAGTATTGACATTTTTGCTCACTTAACAAACTATATATAAAAACAACAATCTCAATGTCTTTACCTAATGTGACAGCAGATGGCAACCCCATTGGTAAGAAAGCAACGATCAAACCAACCGTATTAACGATATTATCATTATAGGAAATAAATCCAGGATGTCGATGTTTTAACCATTCTCCCCATGTTATCCATAAGATAGTAATACCTGTTAATGTAGCAAGTACAACAAATAAAACAAAACGATTCACTTCACGATGTAAACCAGTTATTTCATCTCCTGTACTTCTTCGAGTTAATTTTGACATTTTACCTAATACAGTATTATCACCAGTAGCAATAGCAACTGCTTCACCTGTTCCTTGTTCGATCATCGATGAATAAAATCCAATATTTTTTGTTTCCATAAAATTGGTACTAGTACATTGAACTGTAGCCGAAATTGGTATTGATTCACCAGTTAATTCTGATGTATTCACCTAAATAGAAAATACAAATAAAGATAATATAAAAATTTAATAAGAATAAAAAAGACAAAAAAAAGATGAAGTACTTTTAGACTATCACAAGTTATGAAACGGCAATCAGCAGGTAATTTATCACCCATTCGAATAAGAATAATATCACCTGGAACAATTTCATCAGTAAGAATCTGTTGTTCTTTTCCATCTCGTCGAACAGTCGCTAATGTTGGTAATAATTTCGAAAATGATGCAACTATTTTAATTGATTTAATTTCTTGATAGGAATTTAAGATTGAATTTAAAATAATAACTATAAAAATTAAAATACCCAAAGCTAAATTTGATGGATCTGGATGAACTGCACCAAATGATTGATAAGCTAGAACAGCGATAATACCGGCAAACCAAAGAATACTATTGAAACCTGCAAACAATTGTTTAAATAAAAGCCAAAAGTAATTTGGTGGTTTAGGTGGTGTAAGTTTATTGTCACCATATTGTGCGCGAACATCTGGTATGAAGTTCGATGATAAGCCTGTCTTTGGATTAGTATGAAAGCGTTCAAAAAGCTTCTCTAACGGTATCATATGAACTGTCTTCTGTTCAGGATGAGCTTTTTCTTTAGTAGTCCATAACTCAACAGTAGAATCTTGAGGCATAGATAATTGATCAGGAATATTATTATTGACATTCGGATCTTGTTGTTTATTGTCTTGAACATATTGGCTGTCCATTATGAATGATGAATAGTTTAAAGAGTAGTATTTATAAGACAGTTCTTTTATATAAACGATTGAAACGAGATTCAAAAGAAAAATATTTTGGAAAATGTAGTTTTCATAATTTTTGGTTTGTTCAATGACAACATTCTACATTGAAAGTTCTAAACTAACAAAAAAAAGCAATTCAATTCAATCAATTTAAAAATATTAATTTTCAAAGAATCAGTTTTCTTATAAAACTTTTTATTAAAACCATCTAATAGTAACATATCTAACATACAGTGGCCACAAGACTATCCGCTACCGGGTAGAAAACACGCGAATTTCAATCTTTTTGTCTGATATTTTGTCTATAAATAGAATTCGGTAAACCTAGATCGTAAGCAGCAAGCCGATGTTGATAGGCCTTAATACAAAGAACTTAAGAAAAAAAAATAGTTTTTCCCTGGAGCCCAAAAAAGGTTTGTTGGACACTTATGATTTCTCACTAATTAAAATGCTTTAAATTCGATTATCTTATTAACAAATAAAGATTGGCATGTCTTTTGTTGTGTCAAAGGTAGGGTACGTCAATCCTCTGTAATCCTGAGACGTGAGGAAGTCTCCATTGTCTGATACAGTCTAAGCATGAGTCTCTTCTTCATCAATGGCTGTTATCGTAAAGTTTTGAGGAAAAATTTGATTAGAACAAAGCACTTAGCAGAGAAAAATCTCAAGGCAAATGATAAAAACTAACCGAAGATATCCGATCACTCCTCGATGATTTCCATCAACTCTCTTGTGAAGATTACCCACAGAATACTTTATAAATGAGGCAAAATAAAACCATTTGACATAGAATTTTCCTTAGTGATAGAGACCACACTAAATATGTCGCACAAAGTCAATTCTGATATTAATATGTGCATATACGCTAGTATTGTTTTCTTATGTTTTCTCTAGGATGTTAGCACAGAAAAATATGTCACCAAGTATATTGAAAGCAGGGCTTTGTTAACCCTTTACCCCCCATAGCGGTTCCAGAAGAGCCACTGAGAAAATAACTTTATAAAAAGAGTATTAGCTTGTCGAATATGCCAATGGTGTGGCCTAATCCATCGAATGTCCTGGTTCTGGAGTAGGACGGTTTGATTGATATAAAAATCATGTGCTGGAAAATGAGAATTGTACGACATCATAAGACTTAATTTTTTTTTCTTTCACCACATTATTGACTCGACAGAAGCAGCATCTATCTTGTAGTGTTGAAGTGATAAGAAAAACGCAACGAGTGAACCGATAAAAATTAACATAAAAGAATGCATGCTTTTTTTACACCTATTGTCAAACTTAAGCCTATTTTACTCTGAGCCGTTTTGTAACGTCTGGAGAAATTTAATTCATCATCAATACTATTTCGACTACTCAGGAGTTGAGGTCTATAACGCATATATTAACTTTGTTCTTGATTATCCTCCATCTGTCTAACGGTGATAACATGGTCAATTATATTCCTTAGTATGTATAATTCTCGGAGTTATCATGAAGCTTCCGAAAAATATCTAATTCAGCAGTGGACTTCTTCATCGATTAATATTACACAGAAATTCCAAAAGACCTCTATCGACTGCAAGTGGAAAACATTTTGTTTAAAAAATTTCGAATTTTTGCATTTTTTTCAAAATTTTTGATTTTGTAGGTCATATATCTCGAAGGCAGAGTAACGAAACAATATATTTTTTTACCAATCGATAGCTTGTGAAGTTTCCTACAAATAATGTCTTGGGAGTTTTTCGGTGTCATGCTTCCTTTATTTTCTGTGATCGTTCTACAAATGAGTCATATATGACCCACTGGGGGGTAAAGGATTAACTCACTAGTGAGGAAACTATTCGAAGTGATTCAGAGATTTTGATCTGATGTTTTACCCATCAGTAAGGCCAGGTAAGATTAGAATACATCTAAAATGATAAGGACTTATATGGCTTCGCTTCCAGACTTATGACCATTTTACTGACTTTCACGTTATACATGATATTTACTGTAAACAATTGAACGACGAAGATTCGAGCTGATATTCTTCTCATATATAGGTCTCAATATCTTTAGAATATCCTAAAAATTTCAAGAAAACCGGATGTTTTCTTCCTACAATAATGAGTGTAGCACAAGAAATGCCCATATTTCACAGAGCAGTGACAAAATTGGATTTTCTTGTATACTCGTTATTATGAGAAGGGAACATCCGTTTGCTCTGGAACTTTTAGAATGTTCTAAAGACGTTGAGACCTTAATATGAGAAGAATCTCAGTCCGAATCTTCGACATTCAATTTTTTACAGTAAATACCATGTATAGCGTGAAAGTCAGTAAAATAGTCATAACTCAGGAAGGACGTCACTTGGGCCCTTATCTTTTTGAATGTCTTCTAGTCGTATCTGGTTCTACTTATAGACAAAATGTCAGATCAAAAGCTCTAAATCACTTCAAACGGTTTCCTTGTAAGTTAGAATAATATATTCATCTTCTCTAGACATGTGCGAGATCAAAAATATTTGCCCGCATTCGATCTAGTCGACAATTCTATAACAATACATACATTGATATCATTTTTAAAAAGTTTGGTTAATAAATAAGTAAATGGTAATGTTGGTAATATAATTAATATTGTTAATGGATAAAATTGTACTCGTAAATCCCATGGACTAAGAAATTCCAATAGAACTGTATTTTCTGTTTGAGGTTTCTTGTTTGGTATACCATTAAAAGCAAGATGAAATATACAATAAACAGCAAGTAAATAACAAAACCATATAATAGAAATAATTATATCAAAAAGATAAGTAAATATCCAATACGTTGCTGGACTAAAATAAAAAATTTAATAGTTTAACTAGAGGTATAAGAGCACAGATTGATTACAATGTAAAATCAAGAGAAATTCTATCAACTTACTGTAAACCACTAATATTAAGCAATGATAGAAAGCTATCTTTTCGTTCGCTGATTAAAAATACAGTTACATAGAAGAATAGAATGTAAAATATTAATCTAAATAAAATAAAATAAAAACTTGTGATTATTAGTTTTTTAAATACTGCATATATACATATCAAATGATAATGTGAATGGTAAGAATTTAAGAATACATGATATTGTACTTATGTAATTCAATATATCCTCAATGGATGGTTGCGTTGTAAAATTTCCTATTTTTTTATAGATCAATGTCGTTTGAATTGATGCATCTGTATCATTTAATGCGTATTTATAAAATGTATTTGATGCTAATGAAATAACTTCATAACCGGATATTAAATTTGATGATAATGTTTGAATTTTATATTTATTTCTAGTTGGTTTTGGAATATTGAAAGCAAGATAAATATCTGTATATGTGTATGGCCGATCCAATGATAGAAAAATATTTTCGTGCATCTATTGATGGTGCAATACTTGAACAAAGATCAGGAGATATATCACAAATGAATCGAGAGATTTTCCGTAAGTTTACTATCATCAAAACGAGCGAATNGCGCGACCGCGGATCCCTACCTGCTTCGGCAAGATTGGCCACAACTTTCTCCAAATTTAGGAGAAAGTGATCAAATTCTAAGCAGTTTTTACTTTCTCCCATTTTCGAAAATACCCCCCTGTTTTGACCTCTTCGCGCCGCCCCTGACATAGAGTAAGAGTGTAAAACTTTTAGGCTAGAAAGAGGATAGGGTACAGTAAACTCTTACCCTGCAGGATCCTAGTATGAATATGGATGTAAATTTTCTCTTCACTGACACCTACAATTTTTTCGACATTTTTATACATTCGATATTTTCATCGTTCGATATTTTTTTTTTTCGATGTTTTTGTTTCGGCCATTGCTATGCATATCTAGAGAACAATCAGACGAATTAACATGGTTGATACATCTTTTCTTGCTTGCTTTTAAATATATGTTCAAATGAACAGATCAAATTATATTTGTTTTTATCTTCTCGTCAGTATCGTTCATAGACTGTTTATTTTGAATATAAAAGAGATTTTCTTTGAGTTTTTCGCTCATTTCTTATTTTCATCAGTTAAACTAAATTCAATCGTGTAAATATTATCATTATATACTATTATATTTTTCTAGAAATGGATTTAAATAATCATTTTGAAGATTTATCAAATGAAATATTCTTTGAAATATTTGATATTTTTACTGGTTTTACTTTATTAAACAGACGAATATCATATATTTTACAATCAATTCCACTTTATATTATTATTTCAAAAGAACATTGTCGTCGTCAAATTAATTTTCTTTCTTTTCATCTTACTTTTCATCAACATCAAGTTATTTCAATAAAAGTTTTCGATACCATTGATGATGATTCATCTATTATTAGTTTATTATTTAATCGACATAATTTTATTAATCTTAAATTATGTGAATTTCTATCAATTAATGCAAAGACCAAACTTGATAATGTTATTAAACAAATAAAAAGTCTTAATACACTTGTTATATTTCAAATTTATCAAGCAGATTTTCAAGACTTCAATGATATTAAAGAATTGACTCGAACTATATTAACACAAATCATTTTCTCTTCGTTCAAATACACTTCAATATCCTTATCATTATTTAGACATATCAAGTTATACATCTATAAGTTCAAATCTTACATCACTTAATTTATGAATTACTGCTCATTCAATTTTATTTATTTTTCGTCTTTGTCACAGTATACGATATCTATACATTATATTACAACTTGAGAAACTATTCGAAAATAATAATATTAAGTAGGTTACCAAACAATATATATCGAATCGAAGAAGCATTTTTAAAAAACAAAAAGATCTAAAATAAAATTTCTCTTTTTTTTTCATTTGTTTCAGTGTTACAAATGATCTCTCACCTATGAATGAAAATGATTTTCCTATATTATCACAATTAATATCTTTCAAATTAACAATTATTGCTATATATGATATTCAATCAATTTCTTATATATTACGTTGCGTACCTAATCTCAAGCATTTTTATTTTCATTTTATCACACAATCATCATCATGGTCGTTTAGCAATCAATATGTTGATGGACATATATGGCAAAATATGTTCGAACTTTATCTTCCATGTTTAACTAAATTTGAATTTCATATGTCTATTGCAAAAAGATAACCAATATTAGATTTAGATTTTGTTATTAATTCATTTACTTATTTTGTTAACAAAGATCCTAATTGACACATGATTATTAATCGATGGAGATATGGTTCTCGCGTTCGAGGTAAATAAGAATAAAACTAATTTTTAAGTAAAAAGAAACATTTAACTATACACTTGTTTTTCTTTTAGAAGAATATGTTATAGCACGTACATGAAATTATTCCAAAGGCAAACCAGTAGCAAGAGTAAAAATTGCTTTAGTGTTAATTCCGAAACATTTGAAACACGATCAACAAGAAAAATAATTGATGATCATTATTTTTTTTTTTATTCTGATATAACAAATTTGAAATTATATATAAGAAAAAAAAAACATCTAATATATTACTTGGTGTTTCCGTTTATTTCAGCACATTACTTATATACAATCATCATGGTGGAATAATTTATTCAAAAATGGTAAGAACAAGAGATTTTCTATAAATTTATTTTATCAAAATAATTCATTTTATATAATATAAGAAACAATATGATTTGATTTTTTCAAGCTAATTTTCGACAAACAACTGGTGATAATAAAGATGTACAGCTAAATATTATTTATCTTTCACATTTTATTCATTTACCGAATGCCAAAATATTGGAATTTCAATCAAGGTTTCCTATTGATCGATGGAAAGATGTTGAATTTATCCTACAGTATGTATATTTATATGAAGAGAAAATATTTCTACGTGGAATATATTATTTTGTCTTTTTATTTTAGAGCATATTCAAATGTAATTAATTTTATAATTGTTACTCCATTTTTAGTTTTATCAAAATTTCATGATAATTTATCTCTTATGTCCGTGTTATTAACAAATTACGATGATCAAATCAATAACTGAAAAAAAAATTATTTTCCTTCGAATTTTCCGTCAGAATTTGTTCGACATTTTCCATCGCTTAGTTATATTGAACTTCAAATATTTTCATTTGATAATTGTGTATTTACTATTGAAATATTTCTCACTCAATTGGAACCTTTATCTTATCTTAAAATCTATTATAATCAAGATACATTACTAGATGATCCTTTTTCACATGAATATATTATTACAAAACTTCGTTGAACATTTCCTTTTAATATCATCGATGAACAGAAAATCTATGTTAAAAATAATGGAGAAGTTATTGAAATATGATTATCATGACTTGATCTAACTGATTAGATTTGATTTTTTTTTAAATAATAAAATTATGATGAAAATAAAAATGTATATTTCAAGTCACTTTTACTTTAAGTAGCAAATCATTTTGAAATAGATGTTTGATCATGAAAGGTAGAAAAATATCAAAGTGAACTTGATTCATCTTTTCGGTTGTCTTTAAATCAGATTTAAAAAAGAATTGCTTAGCAATTGTGGATCAATGCACTACATTACATAGTTTTCTTGTATTCTCTGAGAATCATCTGTATTTTTTTCTAGACTAACCAGTTTTGTCAGATTTTAGTATTGTGACCAATGTTTCAGGAAAAGTGATTTGTTCAAAAAACTATACATATCTCTGTTTAATGAGAATACTACGTAGTTCATCATCGAAGAGAAAAATGAAGATGATCTTGATTGACACTTGTAGAGAACTATTGTATGTATATAGATCCAGCTAAATTCTTTTAACAAGAGAATGTTATTAAAAAACGAAAGAATCTATAAAAGAAAAATTTAATTGGATCTATATACATAGTTATGATAGGTCTTTATGTTTTGTTTTATTGTTATTGCTTTCTGAAGATGGTGAGCATGCTCAACAAAAACTTGAAAAGAAAGATAAACCCTCGAATTTCGAATAAATTTAAATGCTTTTTGTGCCAGTTGTACACTCAATTATTTGTTCAACTATCATTTATTCTCCCATTCCTGTTGGAGTTATATAAATGATAGTTATTCAGTTTGGTCTCATTGGCATTTTTGTATTTTGTTTCTTGAACCTATTTATGACATCTATTCAGCAAAAGCTACATCATAAGGAGACGAGATAACTCGTTAAATTTTATATTGTCTTGTACTTGTCTCGCTCTTGCAACAAGGTGAAGAAAGACGATGTAACTAGTCGGTTTGTGGATCTCTGTTTTGAATGCATTTAAATTATTGAATACTGACTGTAAACAAATGAAGAAGAAAAAACGAATAAGTTTATCAGAAATTTTGAAAAATGTTCTATGAAATAAAACATCAATTTAGTGAATAATACCATTTCGACGACATAAAATTAATTGTACTATTAATAAGTTCAAGATGTCGATGTTTTAACCATTCTCTCCATGTTATCCATAAGATAGTAATACCTATTAATGTGGCAAGTACAACAAATAAAACAAAACGATTCACTTCACGATGTAAACCAGTTATTTCATCTCCTGTATTTCTTCGAGTTAATTTTGACATTTTACCTAATACACTATTATCACCAATAGCAATAACAACTGCTTCACCTGTTCCTTGTTCGATCATTAGTGAATAAAATTCAATATTGTTTTTTGTTTCCATAAAATTGGTACTGGTACATTGAACTGTAGCCGAAATTGGTATTGATTTACCAGTTAATTCTGATGTATTCACCCAAACAGACAATACAAATAAAGATAATATAAAAATTTAATAAGGAAAAAATAAAACAAAAAAAAAGATGAAGTACTTTTAGACTATCACAAGTTATGAAATGACAATCAGCAGGTAATTTATCACCCATTCGAATAAGAATAATATTACCTGGAACAATTTCATCAGTAAGAATTTGCTGTTCTTTTCCATCTCGTTGAACAGTCGCTAATGTTGGTAATAATTTCGAAAATGATGCAACTATTTTAATTGATTATATTCCTTAAAGGAATTTAAGATTGAAACAATTGTTTAAATAAAAGCCAAAAGTAATTTGGTGGTTTAGGTGGTGTAACTTTATTGCCGCCATATTGTGCACGAACATCTGGTATGAAGTTCGATGATAAGCCTGTCTTTGGATTAGTTTGAAAGCGTTGAAAAAGATTCTTTAATGATGTCCTATGAACGAACTTTCTGAATTTCGTCAATTGGCGAAATTCCGGTAACCCGTCAAGCTGAGTTTTTTCGTATGCTATGTAATTTTGTATTCTCTACAGAATGGTAAAATATATTTACAAAAAAACTTAATCTTGAACGTGAAACGAATTTCACACCTCGCTCCTTCATCATGATTTTTCAACAGAGAAAAATATTTTTAGCAGTTTTCATTGCTATGAAGCGATTCTAAAGCAAAATCAAAGTGGCATTCAGAATCAGTGCCAAAAACTACGTACATCGAGTGAAATACATTTTTGAATAGATAAGTAGTGCTAAAAAGTTGATCTAGATTAAGTTTACTAGAGAACATTCAAATAAGCTAAAAACTTGGATTGGGTAGGTCTAGACAATGATCTTTCGAATGCATATAAAAAATCAGCAATTTGAATTTCGATCAGTGCCTCGGCTCCTTGATTCTCTCATGAACCGTCTCTGAAAAATTATCGACTACTGATGTATAGTATAGTTACTATTACTTAATGAACTAGTTTTATCATGTACTAAAATGATTTGAAAGCTGTATATCATCGAACATCAGATTTGGTTCGTTGATAGTGAAGTGGATGAAAAGTTATATTTCAAATACCAGCAACACTTCGTTCATCTTTCTTAATACTGATTAGATACTAATATGCTGTATTGATTTGGATGATTATATTCATCTTCCATAATATTTAAAAATTTATTTCAAAAGAAAAAAGAATAGTATGCTTTGGAAAAAAAAGATACTTTTTCTTTCTTCGTTACTTTAACCTTCGATAGCATAATTAAAAAATGTATATTTATGTATATAGACGTAATGAGTTATTTTTGTTTTTAGAAATATTGTCGTTGTGGCCAATAATAATTTTGCGCAGGTGTTACTAGTGTATGATCATTAGCTAACTGTGAAAATAAGTTTTGTGTGCTATCATCAAAATAAACATATTGGTCCCTATCAAATTCTCCTTCTTCAAATGTTTGTAAAATGAGATTATAAAATTCATCAAGTAAACGTTGGATTGTATCATCAAAAATTTGCTGCCTATTAGGTGTCCATTCAAATGATCGAAAATTATCTGATGAGTGACGATGAGTTAATTTTAAGAACTTTGGTAATTGTAAATAATGATATTTTTCTCGTTGTTGTCGTCTTTTATGAAGCAATTGTTCTATTTTAGCTAATTTTGAAAGATATTGTTTTTTAGCGATTTGAGATAATGTTTCCATATCAAGATGTGATGCAATTGGCATTGATAACCATGCATTATTCATATAAAGTGTAACAAGTACAATTTCAATTAATTTTTGTTCGGTTGGATGTATTGGTGTTGTATGTTGAGATGGCATTGATCCCCATCTCATACAATTAGTAAATTGTCCATTACCACTAAATGTAAATACTAAACCGATAAGATTTATATGATATGTACCCAATAATGTTTGTATTAAATCACGGTAAACATCGATTTCATTTGGTCCAGAAAATACATGATGAATTTGATGTATAAGTATATCACCTGTTTTAATACGAAACATAGGATCATTCAAAATAAAATCTGTTTGACCATCAACAGAATAAATAAGAAGACCAGCATGCATACTTGATGGATTATATTTATGTGACATAGGTAATATTCTTACTTCGTCAATATCAAGAATAGCTTGATCAGGATTATCATTGCTATCAGATTCTATCATTGCAAAATTGAGTCCTAATTTTAATAAATATAGGAAAATGGTAAAATTTTCAAAGATATTATTTTTCTTCATATTTTTATCCTAATATCTTGGTTTCTTATTTGTACAACTAATAATCTATGTTTACTGGAAAAATTGAAACAACGAAAAAACACAGACTTCACAAATATATAGCATAAAACAATCGCTCAAATACAGAACAAGAGCCAACCCAAAACGATTACTTTTCAACCTTTCCCTTGTCAATCTCATGAAAGCGGTCATGACTGGATGACTACGTGGTTCGATACGTATCCACAGCGTGCTATGTTCAAAATTTGGTAATATCAGCCATGAAATGACTATCAATAGGTCACTAACGTCTGTTGGTTGCAGATCACTCGTTCAATAGCTGACCGATTACATTGTAATATATACCTACTTTTATGGTTAGTTAGTGTATTTAGAAAACTCAAACAATTGAACGCTATAACTCAGCGTCAGAATGAACTTCTGTTCGCAGCTACAGCTAGTCATACTTGTAATGAAGATATTGAGCTACTGAATCTATTTCTAGGCAACATCTCATATTGCAAAGTAGTCGAAAGAAAAAGGTATTCTTCCTTTTTCTTCTTCTAATCGCATCAAAAATAATTTTACAAGTTTAAGATTAGAGATGTTCAGGGTAAGCTTTTTTCATATCCTATACCTTGATTAAGAAAAAGTTTCTAAGCCTTACTCTGACGTACTCTGTAGAACTTTGATCCTTACCTTGCGCTATGAAATTTTAATCTCGTTCTTTCTTGATCCTATACTAAGTAGTTGGAAGACTTTAAACGGTGATGAATGGCAAAATAATATATGATGCAAAAGCAATGGGACAAATACTAACCTCTATTTCTGTCCGATGAAAGGGTACTGAAAGAAAAGTTTTTTATCAAAAGATAGAACTTTTCTCCTCTTTCCAATCTCATAACTTATTTTTATAACACACCCATAAACGAAAGAACACAACAAAAAAGAAAAAGATCCTCAACAATCCTTATATCTCTTCGATAAATGAGGTCTGAAAAGAATATATTTTTATCAGTTGACAGGAAATTTATAGTTTTTATATGAATTCGTTAAAAGTATCTTGTAGATAACAGTTAATCATAACTAGTTGTCGTTTAACAAGATGTTTTCGATGAATTCACATGAAAATTATCAATTCATGGTGCCGATGTTTCTCGTTTTTCTTTGTCTTATTTCATTTACGAACGTGCAACGAATATAAATCAAACAGTGTTCGAAAGAAAAGAAAATTTTCTATCAACTGATAAAAAAATATTCGTTTCAAAACGTATTTGTCAAAGAGTTATCAGATAATAAAATTTTGCGCCGTTTTCTAAATCTCACGAAACTTGTGGGTTCGTTTGAACGGTGCTTCTCGTTCCAGTTGCGTCATTGTGTGTTTATGAACGCTTGACAAAAATAAATGATATAGGATTCAAAAAAGAAAAAATTCTATCTTCCGGTAAGAAACCTTTTCTTCTAGCATCCTTCTATCGAAGAGAAAGAGGAGCAGACATTTGTTTGAATTCTTTTGCATCATATGTTAGTAGCACGTTATAGATGCGTAGGGTAGCCTTTTTTCGTATCCTAGACTGTGAGTTGAAAAAATTGTTTAACCCTTACCCTAATTTGTACAGTTCTATTTAAGAATTGTAAAAGCCAAAGCTTGCCTTAAGTCAATTTAGTTAAAATTTCATTTTTACCAATCGAATATATATTAAAACATCATTACATAAAAACTTCTACACACCTTCTGTAACAATCGTTGAATACATTCTATATTCATTATAATCAGCAAGTGTATTTTCACATAACTTCAAATTTTGCCAAAGACGTAACAACATTTTTGTGATTTATTTTTTTTTATTTAAGAAAAAAAATATCGCACAGTGAAGATGAATCAAGTATAATGAATGTTTTGCATTACTTTTTATGTTGTTAGTGTTTCTTTTTACACTTTTCTTTTTCTTATTCAGCCTTGACAATGACAACATTCATATATAAATAAACATGCAATAATTTGCCAAATTATATGTGAAAAGAAAATGAGACGTAGTGATACCCCAACAGATATTACAAAAAGAAAAACGAAAGAAACAAAAACTGATGAGTACTGAAGCAGAATACAACATAAAATTTGTCAAGTTGAAGAAAAGAAAAATGGATTGTTTTTTATTTGTTTATTTTTGAGACAATTGCACTGCATAAAATAAATTAAATATATATATATATCTATATATGTGTGTTTGTATGCGTGGAAAAAAAGAAAAAAAGAACTGCTGTTTGTATTTTAAATATTAATAATAATAAGGAAGAATAAAATAGTTGTTATTATAACACATATAAAACATTTGAAGTGTATATGAGTGCGATGTCTCTAAACGATAAAATCAAAAAAAAAAAAGTCATAAAATAACTGAATACATGAATTTATATATAATACACACCTATCTGAGTATCACTTTTTCAATGTTAAAACCAAAACAAGTACGATAATGGCAATAATAATGAGCAAGACTGTAACTAATATGATTTTTTTACGTCGAGCAGAACTCTTTAAATTTAAAAAAGCAAAATAAAATTTATAAATGCAAAATATAAATTAAAAAAAAGCTTTTTCTTTTGCAATAAAAGAAAAGAAAAATCAACCTGATGAGTCATAGCTTTTGTTAAATGTTGATTGCCATGTGTTACATTCACTTCCGTATTGATTATATGTTCATCAATAGAGTCTAGAAAAATGCAGCGAAGTTTTAGTTTACATGCATTATTATTTAATTAAGTATTATTGTTTTTCTTTATACAATTCTTTCAGAAAACCGATTCTTAATTAATAAAATTGATCTGTATATATTGAAAAATTTAAGCAATTAGCAGCAGCGATTTAAAATAGTTAAACACCTGATTAACTGTAGCCGCTGTAAGTTGTCGAGCGGCCTGCTGTGTTTGCTGGACGGATGTTTCAACATGATCCTGAATAGTATCTTAAAATTTGTTTTTTCTTCGTTTATATTCTCAATTCTTGTCATATCTATCTTTCTTTCTTTTGTTTAATGTAAATTATCTTACCTATAACAGCGCCTTGGTCATGGACAAGTTTAGCAACATCTTTGAATAATTCATTTACTTCAACAATGTTCGTCTAAAAGATAAAAAGTATTGTTTTAAAAAAGCTTTTTTGGTTGGTATATAAAATTTCAAAAGGATTGGAATAGGACAATTGACTCCTTTAATGAGATATTTAATCAAGATTTGACAGAAAACGGACAATTATCATATAAAAACAATCTAAAACGTATAACGTATGTTGAAGTAAATAGGATAGAAATGTGCATTCTCCCTTCAGATCATGACAAAAGTTGTTTATATATAATCACAAGCAGTATATCAATAAAGGCTCGTTACAATGTATACGCTACTCCTGTATTCTATTTCTGGAGGACTAAGTGAAAGGAAGTAGAAGAAATGTGTCTCAAGACAGATAAGGTAAAACAATTTCCGGGTGAATCCCAACAGCAGCTGCATTGTATTTCACATTTTCATCCGGCAGAGACCTTGCTAATAACTTTTTTGTTCAACAAATGAAATTTAAGTTTTAATAAAAAACAAATTTCACGCTCAATACATTCTCATGAGTTTATGAAATGTTTATCTCATATAAAATCCTGATGCTCTGTTAACATAAAAACAATTAACTTTGTATGTATGGTATAGTTTTGAATCATTTTTCATTTTTTAAATATTCTACTTTCTTTTTTTTACCTCAAGTTCACGTAATTGTTCATCACGTTCTCTTAGTGCTCTCATATCAACTTCTTGTTCAATAGGTAAAACAGCTTGTCTTTGAAATTGATCATATGTTGGAGTTGCAACGAAATCATCAGCAAATGGTGAATCTGATATTCCATGTTGACGAAATGAAATAGCTCGAGCACGATCAAGACTTTCTTTTTCTTTTCGTGCACCAATACGTTGTGCTTCTTGAAAACGATTTAATGTTGCTAAATATTGCTTTGGTAAATTTTCAGTTAATGTTTTTTTACGTCTCTAAAAATAGTTATTTTTTTTAAAATAAATATTCATATTACATTTCTTTTTAATCAAACCTGATCAGCTTCAGTTAATGTACGAGTATTATTAAGTTCTTGAAGTGCATCATTTGTTTGTTGCATTAAAATTTTTGTTTCATGTTGGAGACGATGACTAAGCAAAAGAATAAAGTTCGAATTAGGATATATATTATTTATTTGACTCACTAGCGTTCACGTAATGGTTCACTATCTTCTGGTGTACCTAATTTTTGGACAAGTTTTTCAAGATCCGTAACTATAAAATAAATAATAAATAGAAAAAATAAAATAAATTTAATAAATAGTCTATTCAACAAACCATTATTACTAATCTTTGTTAGATTAGTCGAAAGAGCATTATATAAACGTTGAAAATCGCTTGCACTTGCCACTAAATTAAATAGAAAAAAAAATAATTCAAAGCAAAACAAAAAAAGAATTTCTTTTTTACTTCTTGTTGACCACGTATCAATACAATCGTCGATCTAGAACACAAGTAATAACCTACTGACAAATATCAACAATTGTTTTATTGTTAGTTAATCATGTTCTAAGTTTAAGTATATGTCGAGATGAGAACAAAAAAAAACACACCATAAAATAATAAAAGGGAAGCAAGCCAACAAAAAAAAACGAAGCAACTGAGATAAGCAGAAAATCGTCAGTGCTTGTATAATTTATGCAATGAGTCACTCTTGGAGTACTTAATTATAATATTCTCACTTGTAATAATTCGTCATCGGTTGAGTTGTACATAATTTTCCTCCTAAAAATTATTCAGTACATGTTTTTTCCTACAAATTCTAGCAAATAGAACGAAAAAAAACAAAACTTCTCGAGTCATTGATTGTATTAAGACACTGACTCTAACTCATTACATCGATAAAATGAGGTATGACTCACTTGATTTTGTAAATAAACTTTTGATTATTATTAGCCAATGTTAGTCGTTTTTGTAAAAGTGAACTGTTGTTATTGTGTTCTTTTTTTACCAATGACTCATACGAATGCTTATTTTTCGAGAGGAGCCACAAGCTAAATTTCTAGTGATTGAAATTTTTTTTCGAAAAAAACTCTCCAATATCGCTAAACAGAAAGAACTTTTTTAAAAAATAAAATCAAAATAATATTGTGGCCATTTTTTTTTTTTATTTTTCAGACTATGAGTGACATCTTCCACAGACATGATTCATTTCGAGTATTGAGTACATAAATAGAGAAAAAGAAAGAAAAGCATACGCATACACATCTGACATTAAAAGATGACGCTGCTTTTTATTTTTGTAATTAGACGAGAAAAAAATCCAGGTTTTATCATAAATGAAGGAATTTTTTTTCTCGTTAGAAACAAACAATAAACAGAGAAAACAAACCAATCAAATATCAGTCGAAGATTCTTGATCAAGTTATTACGTCTTAAACTAAATAGTTTACTAAGAAATGGATACAGGCGACTTAAATTTGCCAGCATATAAATATCAACTTGAACAAGTGCATATTCTTTTTTTTTGAAATCTAACGTCTAATTTATTTTATTTTTTAAAGGTAGAATTAGCTCTGAAAGCTAAACCAGATGATCCAGAATTACTTAAATTAAAAGAAGATCTTGAAGAAGTTATTAAATTAACCGCTGATTTACTTGGTTGTGATCTATCAATATTAAATTCTAATGATCCAACAACATCATCATATTCTAATGAAGCAACATATAATTCTGCTTCATCACAATCAAATAATCAAGTAACATCATCATCATCAACACGTTCAGCTATTAGATGGAAAACAGGTGATCGTTGTTTAGCACCATGGAATGAAGATGGAAAGTAGGTTAAACGACTGAAGAATAGTTTAAGTTTTATTTATAAAATTTTCATTTGAAAAGTTTCTAGTCAATCGTATTAAAAATAAAAGTTAAGAATTTCGACCAAGACTATATAGAAGATTCGTTCTAGAAAACAATTTCTCATTTAAAATTCTAAATCATTCAATTTTATTGAATCATACTTGCAGATTCATCGTTGAAAATCAACAAATAGTTAGTTCAATAATTAGTTTTCCCATGGAACATAATTTCTTCAGTCTAAAATTGATGCGAACTTCAAGACGATGCTGATAACGGGTGATCGAAAAGTAATTTGATAAAATGTTCATTCATTGCTCAGTTTCTTAAAGAAGTCTGTAGAAACTCGATTGCATTGAGTTAGAATTATAAATTTGTGTTGTGTTCAAATATGGGTTCAAAATGTTTTTAGGACTTTGTTTTTATGAGTTTTTAGTCGATATTTTCGACGCCTAAAAATTGAGTATAGGCGAAATGTAATGAGCCAAAAATTATTTGAATTAGAAGGGAAAATTCTTTGAGATATAGCAAATGAAAGAGCAATGGGTTTTTATGCAGAATAGTATACTAATGATTGTTTTGTTGTTTGTCAACAGTGAACAGAGTTCACGATTGTTTTTGAGAATGGGAGTAGCTGCAAATTCGGTAGAAAATATCTTCGCTTGTCATTCTGGCAGAGATCGAACAGAAGAGACGGAAATCGTAGACTTTTTGTGATATTTTGTCTGAGAGAAAGTGTCTTAGTATAAATATCTGTCAGAAACAGAACTAAAATTGTTTTAATTCGTTTTTTGTCACGAGTTTCTGCAAGACTGTAAATAGTTTTGTCGACAGTTTTAAATTTTTAGGAAGAAAAAGTCTCTGCCATCTCCATCAGAATCAATAACCTTGACAAAGAATATTTTGATAAAGGAGGACAACGTGTCAATATAGATAATGTCCTCGCTTTTATAGAAAATAGATATATACACTGGCGACGGAACTATTTCAAATGATAAAGCATTTCAGAGTTTGGATTCCGTATATAACGTAGGTCTCAGTCTGATAATAAAGAAAACTCTAAAATAACTAGTGCCCTTAGCTGTTCTCTTCAGTATTATAGTCATTTTACTGAAAATTTAGCCTATAGGCAAGCCTACTTCTGAATAAAGTGTCTTAACATTTTTAGCTGAAAAGAGTGTTTCGTTGAAGAGATATTGAATTTGCAAAAATTACTCATACCTGATGAAGAATGTTTGTTGGAAGTTTAGTATCTCGTGAAGGATATATTCTATTTATAACTAGACTTGTTTATAGGTTAAATATCTAGTAAAAATACTATAACTCTAAAAAGAACAACTAAGTGTATTCATCCTTTTCAGAGTTTGAACTCAAACAATAGTTTATCACTTAGGATGATTTCTTTCATGAGTTCAGTCATTCCTGAATGATTGGTCAAAAACTCTTTATTCTTATATTACTTCGTAGAAAACAATCTCATTTTTAATTCTATGCAAGAAACGTCAATTCTTTTTCTGTTCAAAAGTGTCTTTTTTCGTGTCTTGAAAAGATCGACTCATAGCTCCTAAACCAGTAATCTTCAAACAATAATCAGAAATAATACCAAGTTTTGATTCTAATCCAATATTATTAAATTTCTGCAGGCTTCTTTACGAGACTAAAAATTGAATAAATATTTGGTCAAACTACTTTTGGATCATTCGTTATAACTAGAATAATCTTTTCAATTTAGATATTATGAATGTACAATTGATGATGTACTTGATGATGGTACATGTACAATTGTTTTTGATGGTGTTGAGTCAGTATCATTAACTGTTGTTCGAGTAAGTTAATAATCTGCGCAAAAAAAAAATCAATTTTATTTTTTTTTGTATAGGCATCGAAATTAAGGCCATTTGATCGAACACGTGTGGATTTCAATGGAATCAAATCTGCTACTAATCGAGCTAAAACAAAGTAAGAAATTTTTTAAAACAAAAAGAAAAAAAAACAATTGATTGATGGTTTATAATAGACGTGAATTAGAACAACGTTTACGTGAACTTAAACGTCGAAAAAAAGACAAGAAAATAGCAAAATTAAAAGAGTTTGAAGAAGAACGTGAAAAAGATAAAAAACGATGGACTGATTTTAATTCTAAAGTAATATTACAATTTTTCTTTTTTCTTTTTCATTTAATTTTTCTTTTGTATATTTATTCTTTCTAGTTAACTGGTCGAACATGGAAAGGTGTTGTTTCTAAATCTATGGTTAAAACAGATAAAAAAACTGAACAATTACGTGGTACAACAAATGGAAATTTAATATCAAATTATAAACCAGCAAATCCACGACCTTAAATTTATTTCATTTACTGTTTTGTTTTTCTTTGTTTCATTATCTAATCCTCTATATAAAAATAACACTTCTATGTTGTTTTAGATTTTCTTGTTTCTTTTTTTTTCTTTCTCTTGGATATTTATGTAAAAAAAAAAAACACAGCTAAATGCAGAGTACTCGCTTGTTCATTGCTGCACAACGCTTTTCATCAACTTGGAAAGTAAATTATGCATTGACACGATGCATTACAATATTGAATTCAGCAAATATTCATAGAACAAATTCGAATCTCAATAAGTATGCTTTACAGAATATTGAAATAAAAAAACAAACTATTATTGTTATTTTTTATTATTCTAGTTCACCTATATCTCTAGTCGATTCGAACCGTTCATTATGTATGAATGCTCGGTTATTATCATTATCACGAAGTGGTATAATTACCATTCGACAACGTCAATCTGTTCGATATGCTTCATCTGGCAGTTTGCCAACGCATAAAAGAATTGCTCTACCAGCATTATCACCTACTATGGAATCGGGTACAATACGATCATGGGCAAAACAAGAGGGAGATAAAATTTCTGAAGGTACTTTTAAAAAATTCATATTACTGTTTTAACTTAAATTTCAATTTAATTAAAAGCAACTATACAAAAAAAAAGCATATGTAATTTATTTTTTTAGGTGATATATTGGCAGAAATTGAAACCGATAAAGCAACATTAGGATTTGAATCTATTGATGAAGGATATCTGGCAAAAATTTTTATACCTGCTGGTAGTAAAGATATACCTGTTGGAAAAGTAAGGCAAAAATAATTTACTTGATCTTTTTTCTTATTTCAATGATCAATAAATCTTCAACATTTAGCTATGTGCTATTATTGTGGAAAAACAAGAAGATATAGCTGCATTTAAAGATTATAAAGATGAAGATACTGGTGCAGCAGTAGAAAAAAAATCTTCAGATGAACAAACTACTTCAACAAAAAAGCCTGAAAAGAAAGAAAAAGAACCAACAAAAACAGGTGATTCGACTAGTAAAACAGAACAACAAACAGCATCGGCTACAAAAACAACTAGTAGTTCAACAAAAGATGGTCGAGTTTTTGCATCACCTTTTGCTCGAAAACTTGCTGAAGAAAAAGGCATCGACTTAGAAGTAAACATCCATATACTTGTTCGATTTTATATTGATCTAAGATAATTTATCATTTAGTCAGTTCAAGGTTCAGGTCCAAATGGTCGGGTTACTGGAGAAGATGTTGAAAAATTTGTCAAAGAAGGTGGTGCTAAAGTTGATGCCAAAAAAGAAAAAGATAAAAAAGCAGCTCCAGCGAAAGCAGCTAAAAAAGAAACAGCAGCACGCACTGGTGGTTATGATGAACAACAAGTATCAGAATTACGAGCTGTAAGTAATGTAGAAAACGTATATTAATCAAAAGTAATATTTACCCGATATTTGCATTTCATTGCTAATCGATGACAACAATGTTTTATTCAAAATCTTTCTTCTGACAGTCGAATATCTATTTTTATGAGCACAAACATATTGTATACAGGACAAGAATTACAAACTCTCGGAGAGACGTCGTTCAGTGAACAACTTTCGTGCTTGGAAGCATTTTTTTAATGCTCAGATTGGATTATATATCATTTAGAAAAGAATCTTTGGAAAAAAACGCATTTTTTTTTGAAAAAGTTTTCTCTTAGAAAATATAATCTGCCGTACATCGTTCAACGTAATTGCACACGCTGATTGCGAACAATAACAAATGAGAAATTGGAGAGTGAAAAGCCATTTGGTTTTCTTGGAACTAATAATTAGGTTCATGCTGTATGACCATATTTGACGTGAGATCTCATGTGAAGAGAGATTTTCTGAAAGTTTAAGCGGATTATAAAATTTACAAAATTGCGAAACCCAACTTTAAGGAAAGTTTTTAACATAAAAGTCAAAAACGTTTTTCAAAAAAAATGTTTTTATTACATGTGCTTCGATTACGTGCAATGAGATGATTCTGAGTATGATCTTGATTCGCAACCAAAATAGTGTTCTGCTTGAAAAAGTTGAAGTGTTGACAACAAAATTCTTGGTTATTGTGAGACTCATAGCACTGACTGTGCTCATCAAAGGGATGCGACGCTGTGATTAATAATGAACCAGACATGAGAAAATAATCCTTGAAAGTTGAAGAACATTCAGATATGAATTATTTTGGGCGTTTACAAAATAGAGAAAAACTGGTCGTCAGAACTTTATCGGGCAAGAGAATCAATTTTTTTTAGAAATACTTACTGTTATATATATATGATTCGATGCAGCTCGACAAGCTGATTTCTAATATCATCTTAGTTTTGCCCATAAAATGCCTCTTATACTTGTAAAATTATGGATTTCGGATTCTTTTGGAAATCGGTAGTGCTGTTTCTGCTCACTGGTACAACTCAGCACTGTGCCCAATGATAATTTACATAGAGGATAGTTGATGAAAATTTGACATCAATCGGTTCCATATTGTTTTGCGCGTTTACAAAATATAGTATATCCAATTTTTTCGACCTACGTCCAATCCAGTAATCACTTGTTTTTCTATTTCATTTCTCATCCAATCGAAATGATTTTTTCACACAACGAAGTTTATGAATCGATTATTACTTTTGGTAATAGAAATACTTATCGATTTGTGACTTGTGGAGATCTTATTTTAGAGTAAGATTTAATAACCATAAATATGTTTATTCCAATATTTGAACTTCAGAGATGTCAACTTTCACTCATGTCTGTCAGTGTACCATCCTCTCGTCTCCCACGTTGGCTAAAAGTCTGGATGAAATTCTCGAAAATTTGTTTACTAATCGATATCGAAAGTAGAGCACTTGCATAATCTGACTAATATATTTTTAAAAAGTTCTCAATTTATTAAAATTGAAATGGATTATCTAATCATTAGAAATTATTCGAATTAAAGTTTCGAAGTTTGGCTTCGAAAAAAAGCACGATTTGATCTCATCTTTGCTTCTAATTTCATTTCCTCGTTTTTGAATTTTAGTAGAAACTTTTTCTTTTTGTATTTTATAGGAAAATGCTCGTCGTGTAGTTGAATCCAAGAGTACAATACCTCATTATTATTTAACTGTTGACGTTGATTTGAATGAAATTCTCAAGTATGTTTGTAATTAAGTTTATTTTCTCTCTATTCAATTATATCTTAGATTACGTGAAAAACTTAATAATATGTTAACACCGAAATCAAAAGATTCTAAAGACAAAGCACGTGGTATTACAATAAATGATTTTGTTATCAAAGCAGCTGCACTTGCATGTAAAAAACGGCCTGAAACAAACAGCATTTGGATGGAAAAATCTATTCGACAGTAAAGCTCTTTGATCTTTCTATTAAAGTATCTATTATTTTTTTTTCAATGTGTATTAGATATGAAACAGTGGATATTAATATAGCAATAAATACAGATGCTGGCGTTCTTGTAACACCTATTTTATATAATGTCGATCAAAAGGTGAGATACCATAGATATATAGGCAATTTTAAACAAAACGAAATGTACTTATCTTTCATCTGATTTTCATCCGTTACAAAGGTTGCTTACCGGAGTAAAACCTTTTAGCGTAAGACTATGAAAAAATGTTCGCTCTTTCAGCAGATATTTTATTAAACTTTATTAATTAGTTAAAAAATAATTAGCGAATAATTTTTCTAATTGTATGAGAGAAAAATTCAAGGGTTTCAGAATATATTTGACGCTGCAAACTACAACTATGGTAAAATTTTCAACTGGATTGAACTCCAAAAAGTTTTCTGTCCAAAACCCGTTGTCTACAGATTCTATCATATCCCGAAAGTAAGATTTTTCTATTCCTATCAATTGAAGATTTCTAAAAAAAACTCGATTTGTACCGTTCCGAGTTAATTTTGAACTTAGTATTCAGGTATAGGAGCATTGTTTTTGGTTTCTATATTCGCATTCTATAAACTCGCTAACAAAAAGTAAATCGAGTGTTTTGAAAAATCTAAGCCAATTCAGAAAATAAATACTGTAGATAGAAGTTTTTTAGCATCAGTAATCGTCTAGAGAAAGTACTATTTAGTTTTTAAAAATGCTTCTTCAGTTTGTACGTTCTTTTTTTGGGTCACGTTACTAACGCTACTTCTTAATGGCAACTCCTCTCAATAAAACTCTTTACAGTTGATTTTCTTTTTCGAGTTCTTAAAGCAACTCAAATTATATATATATACATAACATTTAGAAACTAGCTCCAGAAAAGTTCAAAATCCAGAAATATACACTTTTCTATTTTGCAAAGTTACATTGCTAACAAATGAAATCATCCTTCAATAAAATAATAAAATAATTCCTATTTAATTTAGGGTCTTTCGGCAATCAATCAAGAATTATCAGAATTAAGTAAAAAAGCAAATGATGGAAAATTAAGTGAAAATGAACTTGAAGTAAATAAAATATATTGGATTTTCTATAAATATTATATTAATATAAATTTTAGATGGGAACATTCACAATTTCGAATTTAGGAATGTATGGCATAACTAATTTTAGTGCTGTTATTTATCCTCAACAAGTAAGTTTTTTAAATTTGCTTTAAAAACAATCTATTTTTATGTTCATTTTTCTTTTTAGTCGGCCATTTTGGCTATCGGTGGTGTTGAAACGAAAATTATACCCGCTCAAGATTCTCCAAAAGGGTAATTATTTATTTATTTTTAATCTTATTTACGAGGAAATTTCTCCAACTGATAAATCGTTTTATTGCTATGGAGATACTACACTTTTACGGTGTGTTTTAAATGAATGCCATGATAACAGAAAAACTTATTTTCGAATTTTTCAACTCAAAACTTTGCATAGAAACAGTATGCCGTTTTTGATGAGCGATGTAAAAGCTATACTATTACCGTAGTTGTATGTTGGAATAGGAACAGTGACAAGATCTAAATTATTCACTAAAAACTATTCTCGTTAAGGCTCGTGTCTATGCAAAGTTTCAAGCCGAAATTCGAAAGTCAGGTTTTTGAACCACGGCATGCATTTAAAACAGACCGCAAAAGTGCAGTATTTTTGCAACAATAAGCTAACAAGAGAGTCATCCAAACTGATATTCGCTGTTCGAGCTCATATTGGGTTCATGAAGAGGTTGACTAAAAAAGTTCTAGAAGGATTCATGTTCGTGTGCCTCTAAAGCCGTATTATGATTCTTTTACTATATTTTCGATTCAGCATTAGGTATTTGCCGCAAAATATACTAACGGAATTTCGATCTGAAGTTTCGCCGATAAACCTATCGAAAGATTAGTAGAATATTCTAAAAGTTTCAGCCGAAAAGAATGCTGCTTTGTCAAGATATTGAATTTTCCAAAATTTGTCGTTGACCACAAAAATCGAATTCACTTGAAGATTCAATATATTGACAAAGGAACATTCTGTTCGACTGAAACTTTCAGATCAAAATTTCGTTATTTGATTTTTCGGCAAATACTGAAAGCTGGATCAAAAATTGAGTAAAACAATTATTATTCAATTTCAGAAGCTCATGGACACGAACCCTTTCAGGATTTTTCTAGCCGACCTTCTTGCGAGGCCAATATGAATTCAAACTGCGCGTATCAATTTGTGTAGTTCCCTCGTAAAGATGCGAACTCTTGTCAGGATGCTCATAGCTCATTAGGGTCTGCACATATTCTCGAATCGAAAGCGATTTATCTGTTGGAGAATTTCACTCGTTAATTTTTATTTTTTCGATAGTTTTCGTCAATCATCTATGCTTAATATAACATTATCATGCGATCATCGTGTTATTGATGGTGCAGTTGGTGCACAATGGTTACAAGAATTTAAACAGTTTCTTGAAAACCCAGGATCGATGATTTTATAAACATCATTATGTTAATTCTCATGTCTCTAGCCATTTATGCACTTTTATTTATGATTATTTCTAGCCTAGTAGTTTTCTGTTATGTCTATCGTATTGTGTTTGTTTATTTTAGTAAAGAATCACATAATAGCCAATCTTATTTTCTTTTTTCAGTAGTTTTTATTTTCATCAGAGTTTAATGTAATGAAGAGCTTGGATTCGTGAATTTCTAATAGGTTTTCGACAGAAAAACACTATTTCTAGTCGAAAAACTTGGAAGAATCGTAGAAACTTGGAAGCAGATATGTAGAGGTCGGATTTTTTCGATTTCCTAGTTGTGCTTCCAACTTTATACCATTTTCCTGAGTTTTTCATTCACAAAACGGCCTGAATATCTTGACCTGAGAAGCATCGAAGATAGTTTTTGATTATGCAGCGTTGAAAAAATTCATTTCTTTGAAAAATTTTTATTTTGTAGAATTAAAAGTATTCATTAAAATTTTCGAATGGCTGGATATAACCTTTCAAATAGAGTTTATTCAAAAATACGTCCATTAATAACTGCTGGTATGGATGCACGATATATATTAACACGTAATTATCATGAAAAAGTCATTGATCATTATGAAAATCCACGTAATGTTGGTTCATTCGACAAATCAGATAATAATATTGGTACTGGTCTTGTCGGAGCACCAGCTTGTGGTGATGTTATGAAATTACAGGTGAGATTGTTTTTTTTCTGTTCTATTTCAATCATTTGATCTGTTGTATTTAATAGATTAAAGTGGATGACAATGGAAAAATCATTGATGCAAAATTTAAAACATTTGGTTGCGGTTCAGCTATTGCCTCGTCCTCATTAGCAACAGAATGGATTAAAGGAAAAACAGTGAATGAAGCAAATTCAATAAAAAATCAAGATATTGCAAAAGAATTATGTTTACCACCGGTTAAACTTCATTGTTCAAGTAAAATAAATTTTTGTTTATAGTTGCTTTAAATAATAATGTTTACGTTTTTTTTATTTAGTGCTTGCTGAAGATGCAATAAAAGCAGCAATCAATGATTATAATACGAAGAAAGATAAACAACAAAAATCAAATTAATTATCAACAATATTAATAAAAGACATGAAAAAAATTTAACATTTCTTTAATTTTGTACAGAGATTTGTTTATTTGTTTTCTTTTTTGTTACTACTATTAAATCCAGCGATATACTACTTATTTAATTTCGTCTTATTTTACGATATTTTGTCTATTAAAATGCTAGAAGTAGTTTAATAGACAATGATGTAGTGTCTACAAATCCATATTTTTTCTTAGTAATAAACGAAAGTTTATACAGTATTAAACAAAATACTTTCTAAATTATTTTTTTTATTTAGATAAAATATTTATGTTACTAAAAATAAAACATTAATTCTGCGAATTTTAAAATCATTCTATGCTAACCATATGCTGAAGTTAATTATAGAACTTAAATTAAAGACATACTGTCTTATTGAACCTACATTTATGACTTACTTTTTATAAGAATCTGTATAATATATTAATGAAATAAATTTTTCTCAAGGTATTAAATAGAACTAAGTAATCCTTTTGACGTAGAAGTTCAGTGATATTGAGAACAGATTGTCAATCAAATTCAGTCAGAAATGTCTTTAGGGCATTAGGATTGGCTGAGTCGAGTGACTTTTTTTAGAATAAATGAACAAAAATAATAATAAAACGCCGGAACACCTCTGGAGACAAAAAGACATTTTTCAATATGGGAAGGTCACCAGAGGTGCAGAATCTGCAGCTAAAATGAAAAATTTTCCTCACCATTAAAATAAAGTAAATACTTTTTTCAATATTAATATTAAAAAAACAAGAGAAAAACAAAGCAACTACTGTTGATGAGGTCCATACACAGCTTCAGAATCATATTAACTACCGGATGTTAAAGGACAAGTGACATTAGATTTAATACATTGGGATAGGTTAAAACCACCACATGTTCATTCTATATTTACACAACCATGGTATTAAACCATCTCGTCGGAACCATAAACACAGTCTGATTTTAAGAATGAGAATGCATTACTTGATGAAGATTTCTTATTAGAATAAAACCAGGGAGTGGTTGTTACAATTGTGATAGTTTAGTTTTCTTTCATGTTGTTTTTTACAATGAACAGAGTATTAGTCAAAGCTAATACTGCGCACACAAAATAACACTATGCAAAAAAATTAATTAGTTGTATTTATCATGAAATAATATTAATAGTCTTGGTATTCGGTCATTTCAGAAACAATTTATCACAAAATGAATCAAGGCTTGAAAGTTTTTACTTGTGATTCTTGTGTCATATACTATATGTCTATGCTTCTTAAAAATAGGAGTACGTCTTCTACAAGAGAAAATCTGAGTAAAACAGTAGTCATATTTCTAATGAATTACAGTAAAACTTTCCATAGTACATACAGTCATATAATTGTATGTTGAATACTTTTAAAAAGTCCGCATAATTCCCACGACAGGGCAATTTTACTATAGTTTAATAATTGTTAATTTTTTTTTTATTTATTAATACCCTTAAAATATCTGGAAAACACGTTTAGTCCTTGTAAAAAATACTGTTTTTAGAAAAGACCTAGTCTTCTTAGAGTGAACATTTTTGAAAAGTGCGAAGGGTGTCCACCATGGAGAAGTTATATTGTATTCGATTTATTTTCTTAATAAATACTGATTTTAGTAGTAAGAACATGAGTTTACACTTTTTGTCGACTCTGATAAATATCAACGTCAATGAAGGTTGATTCATGGATGTGCAATTTCAGTTTATTAATTACTACTTCAGTGTATTTAATGCATACTGACTATACGAACAAGAGTGTTCATTAAAACACATCACTACAAAACGTGCATGCCTGGATAAAGTTGAGATTTCAAGATTACAGTGAACGCGGAAGCCAATGATTCATTGTTCAGTATTTAGACTAACATTGCATAATACTTACGTTGATTTGAACAATCCTCCTAATAATTGTTTTGTTTTTAGATATGCGTGTGGTAGAAAAACAACTTCGTGATGAAGTAATAAATCGTTGTATAGAATTTCTTGACGTTGTTATTAATTTTATTCTCTATATTGAACAAATTTACTCCAATGGTTTGATAAATAAACTAATATATCTTCTTTATTTAATATTCTTTCTTGTTTTTTTTGTTTCATATACAGATATATTTGAAAAACGCTTAAAATATAATTTAATTGTTTACGAATGTCATGATACTGAAATACAAAATTATATATCAGATTTTCTTAATCAAGTAAAACCTTTACTTCGTAAACAAATAATTGATCAAATAGGTTTTGTTATAACAACAAATAATGAAAATGAAATTCTTCGTCGATATATTATTGAATTACATCCGATTATTGATCATTCATCAAATACAATTCATTCAAATGGAAATCATTTACTTGCTGAACTAGATTCAATCTTTTCAGCATGTTTTATTGAATTAATGCGTCAAATTCCTATTAGTCCATTAACAATATCAACAGAAAATGATGATGATGATGATGATGATAACGATCAAGTTCGTTGGAAATTACAAATGCGTTTATGTCATCATGAAAATAATAAATTTGAAGTTGAAGAAACATTTTATGAACAATTTAAATTAATTGATAATTGTTTATTATCATTAAAACAAATTAAATCTGTTCATTCTCAAAGACTTAATATTCAAATAATGTGTCAAGATAAAAAAACAACATAAATGAATACGTTTTTTTATTTTAATAGAAAAAAAAAAGAAAAAGATAGATATTTATCTGAGAGAGAATTTTTTTCAATTTTAATTTTTTTGTTTAAACATGAAAATCAGTTGATTCGAGTTTAATATTTGATGATGATGATGACGATGATGATGAAATCCATAAATCATTTGTTTCTTCTTGTTGCTGTACACGATTTAATGGTGCTATACGATCAAGATCAATTGTTAAATGTCGTTTATAATCAGATGAATTTAATAAATCAAAACATTGTTCAGATAAACGATATTTTTCACCTATATCAAGTGTACCTAATGTTTGAATATAACGATCATAATCAACACCAAAACGATTTAAACGTTCAATAAGATCTGTATCACGTAGTTCTTTACTATTTGTTTGATTGCCTTTTATTATAGGTGCACATTTAACAATGAGATCAACACGTCGTCGTGTGCCATCAACCATTTGTACACCTTGTCGTACAATAATAAGTAGTTGATATTTTTTTAATTCTTCAATAACACAATCAAGATATGCAGCATTTCGTTTTAATTTTGAATTTGAATAAACTGATGTACGTGTAAATGCAACAAATGGAAAAAGTAAAAGTTCATGAGCAAGTTCTAAAGATTTTAAATATGATGAATCGATCATTGTTTTTAAACGTTTTGATGGTGATGATGGTGATATTGATTGAGGAGGATATGGTGAAGATGATTGTATCAACCATGGATAATCACAAGTTGATGATTGATTTAGAGATGATGAAAGACTAAAATAAGATATAATAGAGTTCTAGAAAAAAAAAGTAGTCGTTTAGTATGAAGTGCTGCTATATCGGTTCGCATGCATTACAGCTATGATTTACACATGTTTTTTTCTTTTTGAAAAACGTTTTGAGAACAACAACATGCACTTCAATGTTTATTTAACATTTTGCTACATCACAAGTTATTACTGTTTTCTTTTCTAGCCCTAACTGCTATTTCATATGGCTACTTTCTTCATCACCAACGGAGTCTATTGTTATTTTTTATTTATAGCTGAGCTTTAGAAAAAAACAACTAGCTGTCTGTCAGCAACGGCGAAGGTCTAGCAAAGACATTCAATATCTCCATTATGATGGAAAACGGGTCTTTTGAATTACACAACGAGTGTATCCTTCACAACAATTATTGATTCTTATTTGATGCTCATTATTAGTTTTGAACACGGTGTCAAACTACTATGCACTCTACAAAACACGTATTTTCAGCGGTGTGTGATGCTTAATTATATCTCATACTATACAGATATATGCCTTCCTTTTTTAAGCAGCGGAGTGTCCTCGGGAGTCTTTAAGTATATCTCATAGTGAGTTTGTATTAGCATCGATATATATATATATATACACTTAGTATTAGATTTATGGAAATACTCTCATAGACCCTCAAGTATTTAAAAGTAGAAGGTATGCATTTAATCACCCCAGTTTCAATTAGAAATTGAAAGCAATTTTTTTAAAGTTCACAATGACATTAAATAGACCATAGCATGCACTAAAGCCCATGACCTAGTCAATACCTTAGTAATCAGTATGCTGTGAGATAGTAAAGCCACATCTTAGTGCCATAACGATTTCATTCAATGCTGCGATGATTCTTAAAGAGAGTATAATATGCCAGTTATTTTAAAGTGATTTTTAATGAAACTTGAACTAGAGATAGCTACAACAGTGGCATTTCGAAATGAAGGTTTGGACAAAAATATTGATGGCAAAGAACTTCTACTTTTGTCTATGAATGTATTTATATATTCATTGATACAAATCTTAATTTTTAGTTATATAAAATGCTTCAGAAAAATAAATACCATCAGTCTATTTCAAATTGAAATAGAATCTCATATTTGTTTTAAGATGAAAATTATCAACAGACTTATCTAAGGTTTTTCTTCTAAATATGAAGCTTATTACTTTTTTTTTTTATAGCATAGTTATAAATAACATATTAGCCAGAATTTTATACTCTCAAATATGATTCATTACACTCATGATAGACGTTTCTTTCTTCAAAGAGGATTCAGTTCTACTTTATATAGATATCTATTTATAAGTTTCTGTTTGATATAGAGTCAAAATTACATACTCGTGATTTGACGTTCCAGTACTTAATGTTGGCTCAAACATAATTTCAAATTGTTTTATACTAGTATTCACAAAATAAATTGCTGAATGAACAGTACTTAAATTAATATAAATTCTTTTTGTTATTGTTGTACCTCTTGTTTGTTCAATAATTCGAGTACAATTGTCAAAAAATATTTTATCTGCTTGGCCAAATGTATGAAATGTTCGTTTATAGGCAATTAAAGTTTCAATAGCTATTTCAATAATTCGTAATGATGCTGATGCACGAATAACATGTTCTTGTGCAGATAAATATCGTGATGCCATCCATGGATGACTATCTTCAAAAGATGTTGCTTTGAAAAAATAAATAAATATAAATATTTTATTGTAATTACTTTTATCATATATATATATATATATATACCTTTCAATGAAAGACCATCGAGATAATCACACAAAGCTTGATTTGCTTGTGGTTCATCAAAATGAAACTCAATTAAACTTGAACAAAGACAATTAATTACTATAATCCATTGTTCAAGTGATGGATATCGATTTGGATCAAATACTTTTAATCGTCGACAAAATAGGCGTGCTTTACTTGCTATAAATATCATTAACCAATCTGTATCATTATTTAATATAATTTTTTTATTATTAAATTTAGTGTTAAGTAATTGTTGAACATAATATCCATTACTTGTACCCATAATTGAAGAAGATTGTTGTCGTTGAATATGTATATTAGTTTTATGTTCATCAAATTTATCTGATAAACAAAAACCAAGTGGTGTTTGTGTTATTTCATCTGATCGACAAAATGTATTTGAAATAAATGCATTACGACTATCAAATTGTTTTCCTGTTTGACGAATACATTGAACATTATTCATTGCTTGTTTAATATGTTCAACAAGTGATGATCGTTCGGTACCTAAGTAAACAGTTTTCATGAAATTTATTTTGTGAAAAATTTCATTTTTCATAGTGTTTATTTTTAAAACTCTTCTAGGTCAAGAAGATCTCTTAAAGGACAAAAATAAAGAAAAACTGATAAATACTGTTTATATATCTTTATTATAATTACTTTTTACGCTTTTTCTTCATTTTAATTATTTTTATTCCATCTAAAGGAAGTAGATTTAAAATGCTGGAAAAGTAATTATCATCATAAATCATGTTGTATGCTATAAAGCTCGAATATATTATTTTAGTCTTTGATTAAGTTATCTGACAAATACCGTTCTTTAGACTGCACTTATAAATAATAGAAAAAGTGAAAAACAAACATAATCTAAATCCTTTCATGGTTTTTTTTCTATAGAGAATGAACATTAAAAAGTTGACATTCTGTTGATCTTATTCTTTTGTTTTCAAGTTATTTTTGTAAATGTAATAGTCTGAAAAAGATCATCATATGAAGATTGAATTTCAATTCTGATTCAAGGCATATTTATTTTCACTTTTTTTTTTTTTTTACCTGTTCGAGCAACTAATAATAAATGCAGATTGAGTTTATGTCTTAGTTGATTATCAGCATAAACAAAAGATGTTGATGTCAAATAATGTGATGTTAGGCCGAGTAAATGAACAAATAGGCTAACATAATCATACATATAAAAATCGCTCAATATATGTATTAATTCAAATGTATTTGGTGATAAAATTCGACGCAAATCAATTTGATAAGATTCGTTTAGAACAAGAAACGTTGAATGAAACCATTGTTCTGTTGTATGAGCGATTTCATCATCCATTTTTTTTTTGTCTTCTACTTTTTAGCTTTTTGTTTGTGTTCTCTATCGACTGTCACTTATTCTACTGACGACGACAAGAATTCTGTTTCAACTAAAAAGAATTCTTCTTCTATGTGTTCTACTTTTTTCCTTATTTCTTTCATTGAGTCCACTGTCAGTAGAGTGCAGAATTTTATATACGCTGTCATTCAGTTACGAGAGAGAGAACGAACAGAACCGAATAAATATATATTTTGCCCTTATTCAACAGAGGAAAAAAAGAATGAATGAAGAATTATGAATGCAATTTTCTTTTCATTATAAAAAAAATGAAACTTTGACAGTCAAATAAATAAAGAAAGACAGAATTATGCTTATTATTTTCAGCGTCAGCACCAGTAAGTCTTCAATGTTATAAAAAATGAATAAAAGAAAAAAAACGAGTTTTCTTTTCTATCATGATCATTGGGTATACTCTGCATCATTGAAAAAGAAACGACTTTTTTCCTTATGGTTCCTATTAGTAATGTAAATAAAATGACTTTCTTGATGATGCCGTCAATTGTTTATTAAATAATATTGCATTGAATATTAATATATAAGTCTTCAGAGAAATCTCTAAGATTATCAGTTCCTAACCAGTCGTATAGTCAATATTGTATTGATGCCTAGATGTCTCTTATGATACGGTTGAATCAATTTCAAAGTCAATGTACAAATGATATGAAAGCGAACAATATAATGTTTTCCCTGTATAATATTCTCTCATTGCTTATGTGTTAAGCTTCAATTAAAGTTAATGATTAGTCATAAGTAGCAAACAAACGTATCGTGACAAACATGTCCTTGAGCATTTATACAATTAACTTGTGTCTCTTATCCATTTTATATTTTAAACTTGAAAATAAAACTATTCACTTTGTTAAAAGTACAACTATAGTAATCTTTAGACTCAAATATACAAATATTCATTGATGCTATATTAGTATAAAAGTATTCATTTATTCAGAAAAGTTTTTAAGCACGAAATGATTCAAGCATTTAATGATGAATCTATCGAAATATTCGAACGCAATATATCAATATTGATCTGTTTGAATATTTAAATACTCACAACATTCCTTCGATCATTAAACTGTATTTTTCAGTTTGATTCTACTAACATGTATATAATCTTGTCCGTACCATTTCATTATTTTTCTTTTTAAAACAATTTTCATTGATGAAAAAATTGTCATTTATTCATATCTAATTGAAATTCCATTATTTGTTAATATTGTTGTAAATAAGTCGAGTCTACATATCTTTAATCCGTCTTTTTCGTACGAAATGAAGTATATTTTCTTCATGTTTCCTTCATTCATTGGTTAATATATGATTCATCATAAAAATTCAATAAATTATTACTACACCTTTCAATCTTTTTACTTTTCCTTGTCTTTCAATTTCATACTCTATTCATTTTTTATATAAAAAAAAGAAATATTTCATGTTCAATAGACGAGTTTAACTCCATGAAATAATTGCTATTTAATGTTTATTCAAACGGTTACCAATATACTTGCAAATAGAATAGAATTGTGACTAGAAATATATGGAAATACAAGGAAAAAAATTTCCGGCACCGGAACTCGAGTTTATAGTATATTATTCTATGGTTTTAAGCAAATTATCTAATAAATCACATAAATCATAACATAGTTCAAGAGAGATGACCTTAAAAAGTATTTGCTATCGACCAAATAAATAAAAAAACCAAGCATTGAAGAATTATTTTAGACGTAATGCAAATAAATTCTAGAATAGTTTTCTGTAGATCGCAACCAAAAACATTAAAGTCATAGGTACCGGGACGGGTGGATAAAAAAGTTATCGAGACCGGAACCAAAAAAAAAAACTTGGTCTCACACTTCTCTAATTGAGACAGTAATGAATAGGTTTCTTTAAAGTCTACTATGAATGTTAGACTGTAATTTTATATTAATGATTTTAAAGAAGATTCATCAGTAGTTTAAATCCATTGCTTTAATAATGATTTGGCCTAAGTATTCTGATAGAAGAATACATGACAAAGGAAATAAGAAACAGTTTGATTTCATTTTTTAAGCATTTAAAATAATATATGAACTGTGATAAAAACATTGACTATTTTTACAAAGAGAATTTTTCATAATTATGTTACGAAAAAGGTATTAAATGACTCACTTTTTTCCCACTCAAGAAATACGCAAAAATGTTTTTATTCTAATTATAGATAATATTCTAAATTATTTATCTGCCTATGTCTAATTATACCTAAAAATAAATTTCTCATAATCTTTTAAGTCATTTTATCATCATTTTCTGACTCGGATTTATCATTTGTAGACTACTATTACAAGAGTATACTTTTCTTGATAATCTAGTCTTTACGGTTATAAAACTAGATCAATATATGTCCTATATACTCTTGCTCTATTTCAAAATGATGCTAAGAATGTATTAGCATTTTAACAAAAACATTATAGGAGTCTACCATGGTATACATCTTAAGCTCGATGAGACCCATTGAATTAATAGTAACAAAAGCACTTTGTGAAGGTGCTGCATATCTAGACAAATTCTTATGATCAATATTTGCCTTTATGCAAAGTTAAATGACTTAGTCAGATACAACTTCCTATGTTAAGTTGGATTTACAAGATGATGATTGGCCGACGGCTATGAGCAAACATAATCAATATATTAAATCACTAGAACACTCAACAAAATGCAATGTGTCTTATGAGACAGTTCGCCTATCTTCTTCCGTTAGAGTGTATAAAATCAGTCATCTGTTGACATTTGAGATGTTTAGCAGAGATACCTTATACATCTAAAAAACTGATGCATCAGATGTCTCAGTTAGGCATGTCAAGTTTCAACGGATGGCCGATTTAGACATTCCAGTAAAATAAATACCATATAGACGCTTGACACGTCTTGTTGATGTCTTACACTTTTGAATTGAAGTTTAGTAGTGTAAATGTCATTGTGTTACTTCTTTTCTATAGGAAAGAGCAAGAAACGATGTCTTCATTATTGAAAACATCATTGCTGCTGGCAACGTCAACTGTTTTTTTTTTCAAAAAATGATCTCAAAGAACAAAGATTCATGCTCACCCAAACAAATATAGGGCGTCTATGTTGTTTTTTCTTTAGTTCTTTTATATTTTTTTAATCAAGTGTTCTATGCACTTCAATTTTTTTTCTTTTATTTATGAAAACCTTGAACATTTATAATAAACTTCTTGTCCATAAATATAATTTCTATAGGATAAAAAAAGTCATTATCCTGTGACTATATTTACGCATGACTTGTTTGTTGACAGAACAAGAGAAAATGATGTTTAGCTTAATTTTTATTTAAAAAACATCACGGGGATAGACATGTGACAGAAGTGATCTAGTAGTTTTTACGTTCTAGTTTTTAAAGCATCTAGATCAATATGCATTCGATAGTTTTACTCGTCTCTATTCTGAGAAAAGTCAAGAATAATAATTCTCTCTATCTACGGCTATGAAAGCTTTCTCTAGTCTAATAAAAGAAACTAGAACCAATCACAGCGCATTCGCTTCTACTTTTTAGTACGTGGTCTGATGATATAAAGCAATGGAAGAAATGTCAATCAATGTCGAGTGCGCTGCGTGTGGCGACACCTAAAATGAGACTTTTTTTGTTGAAAGCTCATATTTACGGCACATGAACTATATCACTAATAAAGATTATTTATGATGTCAAATTTTTCTGATCCACTATAATCATGGAAGTAAATTAAAATCAAAGAGTTGATTTAACGACATCTTTCATTTCTATTTGTTCTCACACACACACACAAAATTGGTTGTACTATTATCAAATTCTGCATGTAGTGTAGCACCATCATTTGTGTAGGACTGAGCTTTCGCAAAAACAATATATATAGGTAAATATACTTTTTGTTTCTATACGTTTTTATCAATTTTTTTCTTCTAAGCTTTCTATTCGAACTAAGTGCATAAGTGGATCTCTCGATCGACATTGATTTGATGATTCATGCATATGTGTCAATAGACTTCGTTGCGTTGCGAACTGGGCGTCAGGTCGAACGAATAAGTGAATAAAAAAGACTCCTACTGAACGGACGAATTAGAGAACTAGTCAAAGTATTTGTGTGAAAATTAGACTAATAATTATGTAAAAATTAAAAAAAAATCATTTTAATTTTTGTCTAAAAAATAAATTATACTTATCAATTAAATTTCGTATTTTGCCTCGACGTGACATCTATCAATCTTTAATAATGTTGTTGTTCTTGTTGTTGTCGTCCAATGGTATATTAAATTCCAAAGTCTGTCATATTTCGGTACATTGAACTTTTCCGTCTGCATAAATACGTAAACAGATTGTTTTTTGTTGTGCATTTTTTTTATCGATCACGGAATATAGCTAAAATGATATAATCAATCACTAATGTTCTTTTCTAGTCAGATCTGTTTGCTTCTCAAATATTGAAATTAATTTTCGGAAATAGAGATTTCATGGCTTCCGTAGTTGATTCTTCAAATTATACAAAATCTCTTAATGGCAATATAGTACCGAAATTTAACGAATATCGATCTCGAGTATGTTAAAATTTTCTTTTTTCGTAAGTTGGTATTAAAATTTTGTGTATCAATTTAGGTAATGCTTGGTGATCTTCCGTCAGATTTTCTTCGTATACAACTTGTAGAATCACAAATTTATGGACCATCTATTTTTCAACAAGAACTTGATGAAAATTCAAATTTTCTTGGTTATTTTACTGTTACTATTGCTGAAGTAGTTATTTATCTATTGTTATTAAACGAAGACTTTATCATTCTTTCTTTCTCAGGCTAAATTAATAAAAAATTCTGGTCCATTAGGTTTTCTTCGAATGGATCCATATGTTCGTTTTCAAATTGGTCATATTTCACATGAAACACCAACAGCATCTGGTGGTGGTAAAAATCCACAATGGAATGCATCATATCGAATGTATGAATAATTGTTCATTATTTATTAAAGTTCATTGACTTTATCATTTTTTTTTCTAGTGATCTATTTAAAGGAATGGATAGAATTCATATTGAGTTATTCGATCAAGTAAATGATTTTATTATTTATTTTCTGTAATAAAAATTATATTCATGTGAACATATTTTAGCGTAGTTTTACAGAAGATAGTTTTATTGGAGAATGTGACGTTGAAATTCCACATGAAGCAATTGATGGTCGAACACATCAACATTGGTATCCTTTGATGGGGCGAGAAACAAATGCAAATGAAAATCAAGGAGATATTCTTGTTATTATGAGTTTATCGGTAAATATGCAGCTAAAATCATATATTAGACCTTAATAGAAGAAAAAAACTCTTTCTGAATTCATTTATTTATTCGGACATCTGGATTATTTCATTTTTCCTATCGGCATCACTTTCTCTAAATTAATAATAATCCCTTATCATTCTTACCATTCACATAGCACACTGTTATCTAATATTTGCTTCCTGTACCCAATGTTTTTTTTTCGTTTTTACTCTTGACCTTTGTATCAATTAGGAGAACTAATAAAAACGTTGAGTATATTGTCTGGTCAACCTGCCCTTGGTCACATTTACTTTTAAATCTGATTCTACATATTTTTGTTTATATAGCCAATGATATCAGATAATCCACCGGCAATAGAAAATCCAAGTCCTTTAAATAGTTCAACAGGTTCTTCATCAACGTCATCCCAATCGAATAGTATTATTGAATCAACACCAATTTATTCGTCAGATGATATACGCACAATTGAAGAAATGTTTCCTGGAATTAATCGCCAAATAATTATTGATTTAATGGATAAACATGGAGGAAATAAAGATATGGTTGTTAATTATCTTTTACAGAATAATATCTCGTAATATTTATATATCTTTTTGTTTAAAAAAATAATAATCATATCTAAGTCATAATTTATATGTATTATGTGTAATTAGTTGTTTATAAAAGCAAAAATTTCATTGTAGATAAGATATGTCGAATTTAAATAACGCTCCGGTGCCAAAAAAAAGTCAAAATCTAAATGATTTTGAAAGTGCTGAACATACAGAATCAAAATTTTGGCGTAAGATCAAAGAAGATCCAGTTGTACCTGTTGGTGAGTTCAAATTTTTATCTGTTTATATTCTAATTAATATTAAATTTCCATTTTTTTTAAAAGGCATGGCTGGATTTGGTTTGATCGTACTTGGAGCTATAATTGGTTATAATAGAAGAGATCGAAATAAGCCTACATCCACTTATTGGTAAGTAACAATTAAAATTTTAATATAATTTTGAAAATTTTACTTTCATAGGATTCGTACTCGTGTTTATGCACAAGGTTTTGTCGTATCTCTACTAACTGCAGCAGCTATATATCAAGCTGTTAAAACCACTTCAGAGCCACATAATATTCATGGTCACAATAGAGGTCATCATACTCATAATAATCATGGCCACGGTAAACTTCATCATGAAGAATCAACATCCAATAATCAACATTCGAAATAGAAATATACAATTATATTTTGAATGAACGCAACAGATTTCACCGATTCTTCATTTATTCAGAGTTCCTTTATGTTCTTGTCCTTAGACAATTATGCTTTTAATATACTGTTGTCGTTTGATGGTTACAAACTAAATAAAATCTAGATGTTTAGACCAAATCTAATATGAATAAATGATTATGCAAATAAAAAATTAGGAAAAATGTTGCGGTGAGACAAATATGTCTGACATTCTGAAAGAATCAATCATAGTGAACAAAGTTGTGAATTAAATGAACTAATCAATTAAACGTAAATTGCATATCTCATTATCTGTTTACCTGTTCACCTGATAGAAATTAATTCACATATTCGAAAGAAATTTTAAGGAAAAATCCAAGATACTATTATTGTTAAATACAAATGCAATAGACACGAAATTCTGACTGTTGTAAAATTATGTCTGTTATGATTTTATCTAATGTACCTCGACGAGCTCTATTCAACCATGACGAAGAAAGAAAAATCAATACTGTTGAAATATTGACGTGCGACAACATGACATAGACTGTATAGATCTTTGAAATTCGAATATATGGGTCCCTGCATATTGTAGCTAGCTCATATTCTAAATTAATTAGGTTGCCAGTGAGAACATTCATATGAATCGAATATGATCAATCTTCTAACTTATAGTTTATGACCTATCATTGTAAGATGAAAAAAACAAGTATTTTAAGTTTAAAATATTCTTTTATTAAATTATGTGATATTATATTTGCTCGCAGATTATATAGAACATAATCAACAATGACAAAATAGTCAATATTGTCTTCATGGACTATATAAAAGAAGGAATATTCTATGATAATCTTGAAGTTGGTCTTACTATTGATTATGTCAATTTCAACATTGTTTCATAAGGTAAACATGGTAACTTCTTCGATTTAATCCATTTATCAATTCAATATATATATATATATTATTTCAAGATTACATATTTAATATCGTTTTCCACTTTCATTTGTCTTTGTTAAGAAATCATTCCATGTTTGAGAATTTTTTTCGACGTAAAATCTAGATAAAATCTGCTTTATATTACAATAATGCATTCTTTTCCTAATAAATGTATATTTACGTATGTCATCTGCTGCATATGTTTTCCTCATAGTATTCTGGTAGATATTTGTGTGTAAAAGAAGGAACTATTATCTTTTTCTCAAGTATTTTGATAGAGTAGAGAAATAAATGCAAATTGGTTTGACTAATTTCCTTATTACATAAATTGTCTTCTATGGAAAATGAATGCCTATTTTAAAAAATGTACACTATGGTTGATGAATATAAGTAGAATAAGAACTAAACTACCACTCAGAGTAGATGGCTGTCTGCATGAGTCCTAAGTATGTTAATATTTCTTGTTAAAATAAATTCTACTATTAATTCCTTTTTTTTTGCATGTTCTTGGCACGATACTAACGTTTAAATATAAATGAAAAAATAATTTCGCATACTCTTTTTTTCTCTATATATTGACTATGACCGTTTCATTTATTTGATCCATTTATAGACCATGGAAAATCTTTTTCTAGATGTTTGAGACTTTATCATGAACAGATATACGTCACATAAGACGATAATTAAAGTTCTTTGCATATGAACATTTAAGATACGAATGGTCGGTTTAGGCTTGAATCATGCACTGCCATATAAGTTAATCATCAGCTGTTAATTATTATTTTCTGCTTATATATATATATATATTCTGCATGTGATGAAATTTTGAAAAATGGATTTCAGATGTGCACTGGTCACATTTTCACGATCGCAGCAAGCTTTTTTCCCCATGCAAGGCAATGGTCAAATGCTGCAAATAAATTACTGACATAAATCGTGACTAATGCGTCGAATGCAAGAAGAATTTGCCATGGCAAGTAAGCAGCTAAATAACAATAAGACTGCTGCTGCACTTTGTGCAGTCAACCTTCTTAAAAACTAATAATAATGATGTAGAAATGACATTATCTATTGACGTAGTAACTAATTTTATCAGCGACTAATTATGGTTATTACGTCATCAAAACAAATATTTGATTGATGACAGAAATGCTGAACTGCGTTTCATCATTAAAAAAAATGAAATGTTGTCCTTTTGATTGGAAATGAGTGCAGTACAAGTGACATTTTTCCTCTGTTCCTTTTTCCTTTATAAGTTCAAAAAGTGCAATATTTTAACTATGAAGCGTTACTTCTCTATCATAGTTTTATTAGATATATGTTTACAAACATGTATTATTATTTTCGCCTTATGCGTATATTATAACAAACGAAAAAAACATGCTTGATAGATAAGAAATCTATTATATGAAATAAAAAATTCATTGCACTTATCAGTCATTTGTTGTGCAAAGACATGCTTTATACTCATTGATTCATGCTTTCATGCCACTTTCTAGACATATCAAGAAAGAAAAATATCTCATCTTTATATTAGAAATAACAAAGAAATGTCAAGTTTTAATAATAAGTCTACTGAAGAGATTTTGCTTGACGACTTTGCGAAATGACGCTGATCTGTTGTACTGTAATAATGTTTATTATCGTTAAAAATTGTCTTAATTTATACTTGAAAAACAAAAATTCAATGCTCCGAAAAAAATGCTGAAATAATCTGAACAATTAATAGTAAACTGAGTGTCTCTATGTTTGTATGTCTACATAATTCAATACAAGATTTTATGACAATTAATTATATGAAACATTTAAAAAACTGGTAGTTCATAAACAGGGATTCAAAAAAAAAGACTACAGAACATTTAAAATAATTTCTAATAGTAATATTAGATTTAGCATGAAGGTTGTATGTTGAAATTTTGTGAGAAACAGGAACAAAGTTATTCATCGTTGCATTGATTTATTCGGATGTGATTTCAAAATATTTATAATTATTGCTAGAACTTTCATAGACTTTATAAAATAATAAAATTGTCAAAAATTCAATTAACGATACTAAATATGATATAGATTTCAAGCTGAATCTTATCATCATAAGCGGCCAACTACAGAAACAAACCAATTACAGTAAAATATACTATAAAAATAATCATTTGCATTTTATTTAATTCTGCAAAATTTTTCATAGTTAGTTTAGCAGTATTCATATGTATATTAGTATGAAATTTCCTAAATTACTAATACATGAGAAACTAATTTCCAGCGAACTTCCATAATTATTGGCCCATAAGAAAGAAATTTCAAGCAAATTGTGAAGGATGCTTCAGAACATCCCAGAAAATTAAGAGACCCTCTGTGATATTCATACGAATAAATGAAATTATAAGTCTATAAAATATAATAGTCTACTCGCAAAAACTTCAAGAATTTGTGGTGATTTCCAAAATGTCATACAAGATTTTTCCTTATGAATCGATAATTAAAAGATATCCCCAGAAATTACATTCTTGTGTGTTGGCAATTTCAAAAATGTGAACATGCCTCATGATTTATTTTATCTTTTCTTGTTATTCATTATTAGAGATGTACACAACTAAGCTTTTGTGGTATCATTTATGGCTTCGGTAAATATAATTTGGCTCCGGTCCCAGTAATTTTTTTCCTCATGCTTTTTGTCTTGGTTCTGCTCACCGGAACCGTGACTATAGTTGCTCCCGTGTATCTCTATTCTTCATTCGCTTTTATCAATCAGTATTTTCTTCTATCCATCTTTGTCAGGGATTATTTAAGGATACACTCCTCCTCCTTTTTCATCATTTCTAATTCTCGAAGAGAACAGAACTGATCAGATTGAAATCTTTACCATAAATAGAGCACCTAGAATAAGGGGACATGAGTTCAGGGAAGAAAGTTTCAAGAGGGTTTTCTATAGGAGTGCATTCTGGTACATTACGCTTTCCATTACACTTAATCGGAATCGGCTGAAAACTTTTTTGGAGATACCTCAGATTATATCTCTGAGGTATTTTTGAGCATTTTCGAAAACAAAGGTTTTTTTTTTGAGAGAGAAATACGTAAAGCTTTGGAGTCAAAAACGGAATATTGGCTTTTAGAACCCTGTAAATCCAGATAGGAATGTTAAAAACGACAACAGCCGATTCTGTCTCCGGACGATACTTCCAAGTATCTGTGGTAAAAATTTCAGTCCGATCAGAAAATTAGAGCTAGGTCGTAAACAGTCAGGATTGAGAAAACTGACGTTTCGCGCTACCCTAAAAGACAAGAATTATATTATGATTCCTATAAAAAGAAATTTTCTTCGATTCAGTAACTCTATAACAGTAAGCTGTTTAGAATAGGAGGACATTTCTAATTACACATAATAGAACTTGAGGCTATCAAACTTTATGCAGTGGTCGAAATCGAGTCTTTAGTCAAAGAAGAAGAGGTGGGTGATACACTTAAAATCAATTAATTTATGAAAAAAGCTTGTGTTTTGTGTAACAATTAAATTCTCACTTAAGTTATCTTGAAAAACAAAACCTCAATGCACTAGAAATAATAAAGTATGTTTTTATTTGCATTATCATTATAGACTTCGTCATATTTGTTTTCTTATCTATATTTTTACTCTAACATGCTGACATGACACAAATATCTCACATTGAATCTTATTTTTGTTACATTTAAATATTGTATTCATGACAGAACCTAAGGTAACTTAACTCCAGAACTATTATTATATGAATTTTATAAAAATATTGATCATAAATAGATATTCACTAAAGAATTAATTCTTACAGCATTTGCTACTGGTTCAGGTGTAGTTTCATTTGGTTGGAATACAGGTTGTCTTAACAGTGCACAAGAATCAATTAAATCATGGATTGTTGAGTCATATTATCATCGAACAGGACATACACTTTCAAAATATGTACTTACTCTTATATGGAGTACTACTGTAGCAATCTTTGCTATTGGTGGTGCAATAGGTGCTTTTGCAGCAAGTTTTATAAGTCGTCGATATGGTCGACGAGGTGGTCTTCTTAAAGCAAATTTACTTGGAAT